ATTAGATAATTGCCATAAATGTGTCTTTAATAATTCATACTATTCATTTGAAAATCCTAGGAATACTTAAAATAAAATACTAGGTTGATTTAGTTTGTTGAAAAAGTCTAAAATACTTTCCTTATTAAATGTTTGTAGAAAGAAGAACATCCGAATGATGTTGGAAGATTGAGTTCTATTAGACAACACACACCTTAAAGAATGGTGATATTGTTGATGAAGCGACTAAAAGAATCTTGGTTTGTATTTGGTTCCCTTTTTTTTTTTTTTTCTTTTAATGAATCATAGAAATTATATGTTTCCTTGTTTCAAAGTTGACAATTTCTGAGCATATTTTTTTATTCACTTTTTTGATAATGAGGCTGAAGTTGCTTTTGAATAATACAAGCAAAAGAATCTAAATTCAAGAACTAAAGATTTGTTAAAAGTTGAGAGAAAAATCATGTTCGAAGTTAAGGGATCTAAAAGGAGTAGACGTGTAAGAGGACTCAGCTTAGGACCAACCCCACCTTAATTGGTATCTCCAGGGCGTCTTCAAGTAAAAATGACAAACTGCAAAAAATGAAAAAAAAGTTGAAAGATCTAAAAGGGCAAATGTTATCTATACTCAGAATTCTCAAAGTATTGAATTGGTAAGTTAATATCAATGTTGAACTTATATGATTGATATAAACAAATGAATTAATATATCTTACTTCTATCCTTGGATGCTTTGGATGAGTTATTTTAATTAATTTAGTGCTACAATCTTTTTTAATTTCATATGATTTTAAATAATTGCTTTTGATCTGTGGACACATCCTTGGATGGTTATATTTTTGTGATTAATACTTGTATCTTTTGCTGATGGTGGGGTCTAGTTCTATGGTTTTTTCACCTCATGCATGGTGAGGAAGGTCCTAATACTAGGTTGTTGTAGATCTATGAGTTTTACATTTTCCTATGTCTTGTTGATCATTCTTGGTTCTACAATGTAGATTAATGAAAAGTATTCTTAACTTTTGTCAAATTATGTACAATTGCAAGATCTATTTAGCATTACTACCAAGGTAAATGCAAACTAGCCTTCTTCTTCTTCTTCTTCTTCTTCATCATCAAGCCAGCCTTCTTCAAGCCAATAGTCTTATTCAAGCCACCCTTCTTCTTCAAGCCAAATGGAGTAATCTTGTGTTAATTGTTTTGCTTGTTGGATGCAGTTGCTTAGATTAATCAATGCTAAAGATATTTTGGTGTTTTGAACTTGATTGCTTAGTGACAATTTGGTAGGAAATGGTTTGAAGTAATTACATATAATAGAACTTATTTGTTTAGTGACAATCAACATCATAGATGTATGAATTGATAAATATTTTGAATATATAGATGAATTTTGTTGTTTTATAACTGATTTTATACATTTTCTTTAATATATTTGATTCATTATGGTTATCTTGTCTGGCAATTATACATGGACTTCTTTTATTGTCCTTGGATGACTTTCATAGAAAAATCTACATAACAATTACTATGGCTATAGCCTTCATTGCAATTTATGACTAGTTAGAGAATTGGCCAAATTTTTTTCCTTTCCTATTTAAGTTGATTAACAATCCAAATGATTTGAATGGGGGTAGGTATTTGAACATGTGTACCACTTCTAATTGTTGCATAATATTTATGTAATATAGCTTCCTTGCAAATGGTATCTTACAAGTAATCCTTTGAAATTAATTTTTATTTTAAAGATTTGTGAGCCTCTATGAGAATGAGTCGTGGGGATGGCTGCATATTAGTTGATAACATGAAATTTGTGCAGGGATTTAATTCTAGATTTTCAAAAAATGTGTTTTTTGATATTTATGTGTAATTCTCTTCTGAGGCACTAGACCAATAATGATCCTATAATTTTCCTTGACAAAGTGTTAATATGCAGAGCGCTTCTAGTTAGGATATATTTGGTTCTTTATCATTTGGGTTTTGCTTTCTGCATGTTGTTTGTTTGTTAACTTATTGCCATGTCTTGAATAAATATATTTGAATTTAGAATTGAATAGTTTAGAATGCTTGAAAACAAAGTATGCAGGGCTAAAATAAAAGTGATTTTTGGTGTTTCTTTGAGCACCTATATAGCACAATTTCAGACACTTGTCAAGTGCCTGAAAGTTAGGATTTTCCAACCTAGAAAAAGTATATTTCAAGTGCAAGTCAAGTATATGAAAATAATATAATTGCAAGCACTTTACAAAACGTATGCAAATTATGTTATTGCAGTCGCTTTAAAAAGTGCCTGCAAACTAGGTTATTATAAGCACTTTTTAGTTAATGCAAGCGCTTTATAAGTGCTTGTAAATTCAATTATTCCAACCGCTTTAGAAATCACTTGCAAACTACATTTTATTTATTCAGGCACTTCAACTTTTGTCAATCGCAATCTTTCTCAACATGCAATTTGCAAGCCCTATACAGGCGCTTTCTTAAGTGCTAGCAGTGTTTACGCAAGCGCACAAAGGTGCCTGCAATCACCCCTTTAAGCGCTAGCAAAAGTACTAACCTTTGTAGTGTTAGTTTGATTTATTGGTATTATTGATTCTAATTTTTATCAACAATAATTGGAAAATTCCATGAAAATTAGTAGCAATTGAAAAAAAAATTACTTGAACATGAAAATGACACTTGATAAAAGATTATGGCGATTGATTAATCTTTTAATATCTGGATCTTGAGCTCGTGGGGACTGAGACTAATGCTGATGAAATATTTATTCATTATTTAATTAAATGAAGGAAAAAGAAAGAACAAAGTCAACCTTATTAAAGATTACATTAAATTCCTTTTCAATCTCTTGCTGGTCAACAAAAGTTATTCGTATAAAATTGAAACATTTTCATGGAATCAAACCTCCCAAAAGCTAACCCAAATGTCCGTCTTGTTTGGAATCTGCAAAAATTTCAAGGGAATAAGACTTATATCATTACACTTCTAATTTCAATATATAGAGGTAAAATTACAATAACATAATTCACTGTATTTTTGAAATAGCAATTGTAACAACAAATTTCAAACACCCTTATATAACTTGTACGCTAGTAAAGTTGAATGGAGAAAAATATATAAATCTTTTCTTTATATTATATTTTTCTTGGTTTGAATATTGGTTTGAGTGTGTTTATATTAGTTTTTGTACACATCTAAACTACTTTCTTTTCAACTACACCTAGGGATGTCAACGGGGCCTTGCGAGGTCGGGGAGTCCCCCCTATCCCCATTCCCACGAATGGCAGGCATGGGGATCCCCATGGGAATTTTTGACAAGGAGCAGATTTTGCCCCCCGTCCTCACTCCCCACAGAGAATGGCCATTCCCCACCAATTAATATTAAATTATAAATTTTTTTGTCTTTTACATATAATTAATTAATATTCAATAATAATGAATAAAATTCTAAAAATTCATATATAATTAACTAAATTTTTTAAATATAAAATCAAATATAAATTATCCAAATATAAATAAAAATCAATTTAACATAAATAACTAAACCAACGATTAACAAATTTGTTCCAAACATAAACAAAGATTAATCCAAACTAAACTAAAACATAAGTAAAAATTAATCCAACATAAATAAAATAATTAAACAAAAAAAAATCAGTATTTTGAAAATAAGGAACATTAGTACCAAGAAGGGCAAGGCTGCAACAGAACCGCATATGGCTTCGACAATCTAGATAGCAGCAAGCAAATGGATTTGACAATTTGGCAACAACAAGTTGATGGCTTCGGCAGCAGCAGACCAGCAGTGCAATGGAGGGAATGGGATTTGAGATGGTCCGGTCAATGCAAAGGAGAAAATAAGGGGCGACAGAAGGTGAGCACTGGGAAGGGCAAGGGTAGAATCATAGAAGGGTGTCAATGGAATGGAGGGCATTCAGATGGTAGAGTCGCATAATAGAAGGAGAGGGAAAGCCGAGGAAGGTGAAAATGAAAATTGAGAAATGAATTAGGGTTAGGATTAAATGTATGCAGGGGAATTGGTTGGGTTGGGTTGGGTTGGGTTGGGTTGGGTAAAATTGGGTTAAGTTTAATTTTGATTGAATTGGATTTGAACTTGAGTTTGGATTTGAGTTTGGGTTTGGATTTGAGTTTAGGTTTGAGTTTGAGTTTGAGTTTGAAAGGTGAATTAAATTTAAAATAAAATAAATTTATTTTTGTTTTAATTTTTGTTAGGGCGGGGATCTCCATAGGATCTCGCGAGGTGAGGAAAATTCCTTGTAAAATTTCACGGGGGAAAATGCTCCCCGCCTCGTCCCCATGACGGAGATCGGGAGAAATTGTCATCCTTAACTACACCTCATATTGTTTGATTTATTTAAAAAATTAATTTTTTAGATATTAATGTTTAAACTTAAATCTTAAATTTAATTTATAAACTAACAATTATTTATCAATAAATTCAACTTTTAAAATTTACTTTATACTATAATGTTGAATGAAATACACAACTTTGAAGTTTGCATCTATGATGAACTAACGTGCATGTGTTCACCCAAAAAAAAAAAAATAATAATATAATAATAATAATAATAACAACAACAACATGCAGGCTTATGACTAAAAGGAATCTGGCCTCAAAACCCAATCATTGATGGGCCAAACAACCCACTAATCTGTTGGACAATAACACTGGGTTAAGTAGCTTTGTGGCAATAATCCAATTTGGAGTGAATACTTTCAGTATAAGTCAATCATGAGATATATTTAATATTTAATTTAAAAATTTTTTGATATAATTTTTTAGATTTGGTATTTATCTAAATATCTAAAAATTTATATTTAATACTTAATCTAACAAGTATTAGTTTACTTGTGAGTATATACTTACATACTTGGGTTAGGAAAAGAAAATATCTAATATGAGATACTACCATTACTAATGTTATGTTTATAACAATATTTATTATTTATATAAGTTGTTCTTATCATATGTGTGATTTATTT